TTCTGTGAATAGCTCTACACTTTTAATCTTACAAACATTCAACCTATAGAAATGTGTTTTTAACATTTGTTCACCACCAACACATTTAATGATCGTTACCATTAAATTAAAGATATCGTAAACCATTTTAACTTTTAGCACATTGGGTGATATCCACGACTATTACATCAACAGAATACATCAATGTTGCATGATATTATAGATGTTCTGTAATTTTTAATGAGAAACTACAAGCTTAATCCTGCTCACTATTATAAAACACCTGGTTTATAAGATCGAGGTGAAAAGCTAAAGGAAACAAGTGTTGGACATAAACTTTTAGCAGTAATGACTGAGAGCGGCATTAAATAAAATATAAAAGTAATACCTATATGTATGATTGAGAGACGTATTATATAAAATGTAAATATATGCAATACCTTGCACAAGACATACATATAACACTTATGCATGTAACAGAACAGTTTTAGGTATGACAGCAATACAATTTATTGCATATATGACTGAGAAATTTATTAGATAAGACGAAAACATGCTACATTAGATATATGAGTGAATACAGTATTTGACAAAACGTAAATATGCTACAATACAAAATTTCTAAAGAAAACTATGAATAGTATACGTCATAAGAGAAAAAAAAATAAGTTGAAAATAGATATTTTAAAAAATCGACGACAAAATCATTCATTATCTGCATAAACACGAACGGCCCCAATGGCTAGGTTACTTATCAATACGTCCAAGTGCAAACCATCTTGATATAGTCGTGCAAAGATGAAATGTAACCGACACAAGAAAACTTCATCAACATCAATATCAGCAATGATATTGAGTATATACCTTAAACTAATTTGGTATCATTAGATGAAATGTTTTATGGAGCCAAATACAGGATAGAAACACCAGGTCTTCCAACCATTTCAAATGGCTTATTCAATTTTATGAAAAAACTCCCAAACGGATGGAAAATCCAGGGGACAGATGGCATTCGAATAGAACAAGAAACAAAAGATTCATTACATTTTTATGAACTAGCTTTAAGGCATGACAATGAAGTTAATATTCATTCTATATATATATATATATATATATATATATATATATATATATATATATATATATATATATATATATATATATATATATATATATATATATATATATATATATACTCGTTGAAGCAAAAATCAATTACAAGTCATTTTTAAAAGCTTTTTCATACAGCGCAAACAGATAAAATAATGGTCGGAATATTCAGATATACACTAAACGGTAAAGGAGTTAGTTTTGTGGTTCGTGATCTAAATACTATTAATTGATGTCTGGTCACGTGAAAACAACAAGATATGTTGTTGTTGCAGGTGACATATATGTATTTATATATAAGTATTTGATACTGAATTTCCTAATATTTATAAAGAATACCGATAAATCATCTGCTTGAATATATTTAAACTCTACTTGGAGCAATGTTGAAAGCATCTTGTTTAGTTGCCTTTTATGTTTAGTGTTTTAAAATCTTGAATGAGAATTTTAAGAAATATCAACAGTCTCTGATGAACAATTTAATTACAGTCAATACGATCTATTGAGGAATTGTTATTTATTTGTTGGTTAAGGATATTTGTAGGAGTGGTATAAATTATATTTAAAAATTCTGACAATATTTATGTGAAATTTGTTTACCTATGTGAATTTTCTAGTTCAATTGTCCTTATGAAAATTCCTATGTTCTACATTCAAAGGAAATTGTTACTATTTTTGGGCATTCTCATTACTTGAACACAATGTGATTTTATGAAAGCACTGCATTGTATTTGAAACATATAATCTGTTCCATGCTAGTCAAATGGAAGACCCAACTTTGTAAATTATGTCAGTTTATTCCCCTGTCTATAGATTAATCACCCACGTCAACTTAGTATGTCTTCCCCATCTTCATGTGATTCGAATTTATGTAAAAACAAAGCCATGTACATGTGCTGCTATCATTGCCATAACAACCATGCATTTGAAAAATTATAACCTCCAGTTCAGTTTCATACTTACAGACAGATGTTCATGACCTTATGTTCAGTTTCATAAGTATACTTAGACATTCATGACATCAAGTTCAGTTTTGTAATTACATATAGACATTCATAACCTAAATTATAGTTTTATAAATACACTTAGATGTTCATTACATCAATTTCAGTTACATAAGTACATATAGAATTTCATGGTTGCAATTCTTAAGTACATATAAACATTCATGACCTGAAAATCATTTACATAAGTAAACTCAGATATTCATGACCTCAAAATCATTTTTACAAGTGCAAAGATATGTATTTCCAGATCCCACTTGTCATTGACAGTGTCTATTTGGGTGTCATCAACATACAGTTGGCGAGATACTGGATACTGGATGATGATATATGATACTTGAGAATGACCGAGCGTATATAACGAAGATAACAGGTATAAGAACAGCCCCCTGTGGAACAACACAACAGATCAACTGGGTTAGAGTGTTTTACATTTCCGGACACAGTTTGTTTTATTTTGACCATGTAGGACATAATCATAGTAAGGCTGTATCGTGAATGCCAAATTCATGCTGGAGACAGTGAAGTAATATATATCATGGTTTATTGGGTCAAATGCTACAGAGAAATTAAGGAGAATTAGGACTGTAATCTTTCCTAAATCCAAAGAAGAGAGAACAAGAAGAGAGAATGACATTAAATAATTTCAGAAGAGCATTTTTAGTAATGTGGCATGGAGCGATATGCAGACAGTACATTGCTAAAAAAGACTTAGATCAGATGAGATAGAGGTTGGGATAGCACAAAGTTTTCTAAGATTTTCTCAGATACTTTACATGAATGCGAGACCAGAAACTGGGCGGTAGTTCTATAAATCGTTATGGTCAAGTGTTTGTTTCCTCAGCAGAGGCTTTACAACGGCAGGTTTTTTGTTGAAAAAATGATGGCAATTTCCCCGATGAGAGAGAGGAGGAGGATTAATAACATTAGTTAGTGAAGGCAATGTTGGATCTAAGCACTCAAAAAGCAGTGATGTCGGAATCGGATCAAGTTCACATGACTTTGGTGCACATTTCATCACGATTATACGTACTAAATAAATAGAGACAGGTTAAAATGCGGCTAACGGTTACCGCTGTAATTCTGTATCGTAACTGTATGGCAACGACGAGTCAATTGAAATTGTGTTGTCAAACTTATCTCTGATGGTTTTTACTTTGTAAATTAAGAAATATGCTAACACGTCAGGAAGGTCGACTAGAGAGACAGTAGCTTTGTTCCTTGACATTAGATTTTTAGTAACCTCGAATAGCTCATTGCAACTGGAGCTTTCTGTGATCTTAGTACTGTAGTAGGCTGATTTCGCTGCATGGACTCTGTGACATTCTTCTTATTGGCTTGATAGATTTGTTTATAAATAGTGAGTCTGGTGAAAGCCAATCCCTCTCAGCTTTACGGCGGTCTCTTTTAGCAGTTCGACGCTGGTACCTAACATTGGTATGACACGGGAACACTTTTGAATTGATACTTTGTACTTGGTTGCTGTGGAATCTTTGTCAAGCAATTAACGCACGCAATTATTAGTTGTTATGAAAGCTAGTTGTTAGGTTTGCTATTAGGTTATGCATTAGTTGGGTTCGGTAAGAAGGCTCAGGCATGAAGTCTGAAACTCCCATTATTTTTTCTACTTAATAAGACTGCTCCAATTATTTACTTTAATACAGCAACTAATGTAGCGGATCTGAAAATTTGACAAATGTTATTACAGCTTCTTAACACTAATATAATTATTGGAAACATTGCTGACACTACCAACAGTGATACATATTTTCGCTACTAATAAGCGAAACAAAAACTATTTAGATGTACACTACCTAATACTGATTACCCGGTGTATCCTGATTAGTATGACAAATACTGGACCGTTAAGGTTATTGTTTGACCCTTAGTAGCATGAAACCTATTGATTTAAGGCTCTATATAGAATTATGAAGGAAACCAATTGAGAGAAGCATATCGGTCATGGAGGTGGTAAAAACGTTATCACTATTCAAAGTCAGCATATACTATTAAACAACAGCACCGTATGTACCTGTTATTCCGTATACAGGTTTTTCAAACAGCAAATCCCTTTGTGGCACTTTGACCGCCTATTTTACTAGTGACATACTTAACAGTTAGTAACAGTGAGGTAGGTGTATTTATATATGTTTCAGTATTATACAGACATCTGTACATACTAACTTTTGAGTGAATTAGGTATACTGGTATCTGGTTTCCGTATGATACACACATCTGTGCATACTACTAACTTTAGAGTGAATTAGGTATACTAATATCTGGTTTCCGTACGATACGCACATCTGTGCATACTACTAACTTTTGAGTGAATTAGGTATACTGGTATCTGGTTTCCGTATGATACACACATCTGTGCATACTACTAACTTTTGAGTGAATTAGGTATACTGGTATCTGGTTTCCGTATGATACACACATCTGTTCATGCTACTAACTTTAGAGTGAATTAGGTATACTGGTATCTGGTTTCAGTATGATGCACACATCTGTACCTACTACTAACTTAAGTGTGATTTAGGTATACTGTATACTGGTATCTAGTTTCAGTATGATACACACATACAATCATTGTATGTAAATGTATTAACTTTGCATATAGACAAAAAAATCGATTCCTACTTGACGTATTAATTAAGAAGTCCTTGTATACTGGTACATTTATCCTGAATATTACATTTTTATAACTGTATATTACAGTAGAGTTGTTATTCAATTTGCAAAGCACATACGGACAATCATCCATTATACATTCTGCATGGATGCTCACGAAAAGATTGATACAGACAATACCATCACGATGCGTGAAATGAATTCTTTTTTTTGTAGTGAACAAAACCTCGTTCTATGAATTTTTCATTTTTCATTGTTAGTCTAATTTCTGTACAAGACCACATCAGCGGCTTAAGTGGTTAGAGCGTCCAACTTGGATTCGGCTTGTCGTGGGTTCGAACCCCGGCTGAGTCATACCAAAAATTTATAAAATGGTATCAGCAACTGCTCTCGCCATTAAGAGATTAGTTTTAGGATTAGAGAGCCTTGTGTCAGAATAATGTGACTGGGTGGGACATCATACTAAATTTCTGAGGCATGATATCCCATTGCGGTACATCACTATAAACTGCGGCACTGTAGACATCTCAGCGATGTGACTGAATAATTTTGAAAGATACGTTCACACAAAAATCAAACACTTTATGTACATTAATCGTCTCCATATGCTTCAGTAAACCACATGAAAGAAGTAAGCCAGTCGCAAGGTTTCACCCTGGAAAAGGCCTTTAAATAACAGTTGCATTGAAGCTAAGCGACAAATAAGGTAAACTATTCGTAACCTAGCTCAAATTAGACAGGTAACGTAACATGTGCATAACCTAGCTCGTAGTTATACCCTTCTTAAATCCTCTACATTGATTGGTTGGTTTGTTTATAGCAATGAGATTTGCCGGGGAAGGACAGTGCACACCGTATAGCAACAGGATTTAGCCCAGTGAAATCAAGGCTTCCTTGTCCCTGGCGTTCTAATTCCGGACGGTTATATTTTGAGGAATTGTTTTAAAATTATGTAAGTATAAGTCTTTATATAATTATATAGCGACACAAGTAACACATTCACATTACATATGTTTACATTGGGTGAGGGATTATTGTCCGGTCAATATATTTTGTATGTATCAGTCTAGCTGCAGTAATACACATTCATATTACCTGTGTTTCAACGTGGAACTGTTACCAGGTCGATTTATTTTGCAGGTATCAGTCTAACTATAGAAGTAGCTGTCGTATTGCCAATATTCATAAGAAAAGGGGATTACTTTCTAGTCAGTATTTTATTTAATTGTCAGTCCAGGTACAGAAACACATGATCATATTCCCCGTGCAAAAAATAAACTAGGAAGTTGTATCTATTTAGTATATAAACTGCTATTGAAATGACATTATTTTAGAAGGAATTTATTATCTGATATTGACCTAAATGAAGAACTTGGTTCAGTTTAGACCTGATAGAGACGTGTGGCATGTTTGAGTTTTGAATTGATGCAGGTGAAAAGGATGGTTTCCTTCAGACTTGATACATATCCATATCTTGGTCGAGTTAAGACTTGACAAAGATCGACCAGCTTCTAGTCGTTATGGTACTGACATGAGTGTGGTGAATTTACTAACTACTCTAGTGCACGTATCTGCTGAAATACTAATACTTATTTGACGAAAGTGACTAACAGAATAAAGGACGGAGTTTTGCATGTTTATACTAGTTTTAAATCGCTTTACTCCGATAGGAAAACATTAGATGCCGATTATTACAAATAGAAAAAAATATAGGGCTGAAAAATAATGCAACCGGCCAATAAAATCAAAGCTCAATATGACACCATATTTCTTATAGGAATAATGTATGTCTGCCCTTGTATATTTTCGGTTGTATAGAAGTTGTTAGCAGTAGCGGATAATATTCATTAGAACTCCCATTACGTTAATACTCATGAAATGTGTCGTACATCAAAATCACAATTGTATTACTCGTGAAATGTATCGTACATCAGAATTAAAACTTTATTACTAGTGAAATGTATCGAACATCAGAAGTACAACTTTATTACTCGTGCAATGTATCGAACATCAGAATTACAACTTTATTACTCGTGTAATGTATCGTGCTTCAGAATTACAAATTCATTACTCACGCAATTTGCCTTACATCAATATTACAGCTTTATTAAACCTGAAATGTGCCGGACATCAAAATTACAAATGTATTACTCATGAAATGTGTCGTACATCAGAATTACACTATTAGTCCAAATTACAAACTTATTACTAGAAACGTGTCGTACATCAAACTTACACCTACATTACTCGAAAGTTTGCTTACGTCAGAATCACAAGTTTATTAGTCATGAAAATTTGTTGTACTTCAGAATTGCAACTTTATTACTAATAAAATTTGTCGTGCATCAGAATTTTAAATCTGATATGTTTACTGTTTTAATAACTGAAGAAATGTATTTTAGTTTGGATCCCACCAGTAATAAAATGTTTATAAAGAAAATAGTAAAATTACAATCCAGTGAGAAGCTCAAGCAGGAAGTAATACGAAAGTCTAGCACAATGATAGTGAGCATCAGAGAGGCTGGTCCCTACAAAATTTTGCTCGATTCATTAACGAAAAATAAAGGTTCCTACAGAGGCTGAACAAAGGTCAACAACGCTAAACCAAAATCTCTAACTTTTCTATTTCCAAACGGTTAGGTTAAGTATTTTACATACTTTTTACTATATGCAACCATGCAAGACAGCCGTACAACTTAATGTACGCATACATACTCTGTACTATATACAGCCATGTGATACACCCATATAACTTGATGTACTGATAGATACTTTATATTTTATACAGCCATGTAAGACACACATATATATATATATATATATATATATATATATATAGATATATATATATATATATATATATATATATATATATAAAACTTAATGTATTATACATACTTTATACTATATACAGCCATGCAAGACAGCAGTACAACTTGATGTACTCATACATACTTTATACTATATACAGCCATGTAATACACCCATATAACTGTATGTACTAATATATAATTTATATTATATGCAGCCATGCAAGACATCCGTACAACTTGATGTACTGAGAGATAATTTATAGTTTATACAGCCATGTAAGACACCTATATATATATATATATATATATATATATATATATATATATATATATATATATATATATATATATATATATATATATATATATATATATATATATATATATATATATATATATATATATATAAATTTATTTACTATACATACTTTATACTATATGCAGCCATGCAAGACAGCCGTACAACTTGATGTACTCATACATACTCTATACTATATACAGCCATGTAAGACACCCATATAACTTTATGTACTGATAGATACTTTATATTATATACAGCCATGTAAGAAACCCATAACTTTATGTACTGATAGATACTTTATATTTTATACAGCCATGTAAGACACCCATATAACTTGATGTACTATACATACTTTATACTATATGCAGCCATGCAAGACACCAGTACAACTTGATGTAGTCATACATACTCTATGCTATATACAGCCGTGTAAGACACCCATATAACTTTATGTACGGATAGATACTTTATATTATATACAGCCATACAAGACATCCGTACAACTTGATGTACTGATAGATACTTTATAGTTTATACAGCCATGTAAGACACCCATATAACTTGATATACTGATAGATACTATATATTTTATACAGCCATGTAAGACACCCATATAACTTGATGTACTGATAGATATTTTATAATTTATACAGCCATACAAGACAGCCGTACAACTTGATGTAGTCACACATGCTCTGTACTATATATAGCCATGTAAGACAGCCATATAACTTAATGTAATCATAAATACTTTATATGTTATACAGCCATGCAAGACAGCCATATAAATTGATGTACTCATACATACTATAGACTATATACAGGTTTCTTGAAAAGGATGTCCCTCTTGGAACGTTGAACAAGTATTTTATCAGCTAGTCACACTTTGATGTAACAGTGAGTTAGGTATATTAATACGTAGTTCATATGTGGTACGTGAACCGGTACATGTAATTACCACCATGTAGGCCTATTCCGAGCGTCGTGTAATTCTGCGCTTCGTCATTTTCTTAAACATTGAATCACACTTGGTTTTTGGCAGAAAATCCAATTCGTATCAAGAAAGAACGATCGGCCTTTTGTTAAGGAAACTTATATTTAAAAAATGTACAAAAAAAAACAACATGTCTGCTTTAAATACGTATGAAAATATGATTTCTAGATGTCAACATCATGAACCCCGGTCCATGACCTTTATGAATTTTAACACAGAAAAACGTATTTGCTGTTTATGTTTTACATTCATAGAAATACATATATTAATTAAAATATAGAAATGTTTGCCTTTAAACAATACTGCACCTAAGTCCAAGTTTCTAATTTTGCAGGTTGTCCTATACCTGATGTATTGTCTGTTATCCAACTTGTCAATGTTCCGCTCGAACAGATCTCAAGTCCGTCTATAAATTCTTTGGTGGCTTTCCGCATGATCGAGGCGATGGAAACATCCCATTCACTGTTGTGTTTCTTCAACAAAATAGTTTATTTCTATATCAAAATGTTGAACTTTCTACTCATTTAGTTTACACGATCGGGTTTTTGTTTTTGTTTGCTTGATTTCTTGCCATTTATTTGCATTGTTTTGTTGAATTTATAAAAACCAGTCATAAACCTGATATAATCCCTAAGCTAAAATGCCTACAGACAAGTTCAAAGTAGTGCATTTCATTTTCATAGCCCATGCATAAACATTACAACATTTCAAAGACATGCGCATACTAAGCCGATAAGTCAGGAAAAACACAGGAGTGATATCCCTTGTGTCAAAAATTATTTATTATTATTCTGAACAGAACATTCTGGTAACAATAGCTGCTTTTTAAATGGTAAACATTTCAGTATTTTGTTTTCGTCAATCGATCGAATTTGGTATGCGTTTTGCGCCAATATTGGTGACAGGAAGCTTATATGCACAGAGAATTCGGATAGAGGTGTAAAATTACTGAGGTATACGACAAAGTAATATTTGGACCCTGTTTTAATGTCTCTAGCCAAAAAAAGTGTGAAATTCCATAACCTACCCATCCTCCTACCTCTAACTTGAGATGAACAAAAACGAAGATACGTGACACATTATCTGTATTGCTAGTAGAATAAAACGGTATAAATCTTTTACCGGTACAACACGATAATGTATTCAGTGAACAAGTTGAATCACGATTTATGTATTACCTTGTTGTTGAGGTATGTTAATCATGTTAGACGAAACTTAGTCACCAAAACGTTCTTAATTGTTTTAA